ACAAAAGCCATATGATCATTTCAGTAGATGCAGAAAAAGCATTCAACAAGGTCCAACATGCATTCATGATAAAAAACTCTACAGAAAATAGGAATAGATGGTCATTACCTCAACCTGATCAAAGCCATCTATGACAATCCAACAGCCAACATCATTCTAAATGGACAAAAACTGAAAGCTTTTACTTTAAAATCAGGAGACAAGGATGTCCACTGTCACCACTCCTGTTCAACATACTTCTGGAACCGTTAGCCAGAGCAACTAGACAAGAGAGAGAAATAAAAGGAGTAAGGATAGGAAAGGAAGAAGTAAAACTATTTGCAGATGACATGATACTTTACATGGAAGACCCCAAAAACTCCACAAGAAGATTCCTTGAATTAATTGACAAATTCAGCAGTATAGCTGGATACAAAGTCAACACCCAAAAATCAATAGCATTCCTATACACAAACAACAAACAGACTGACCAATAAATTAAGGAAACCATACCTTTCACAGTAGCATCCAAGAAATTGAAATATTTAGGAATCAATCTAACAAAAGAAGTAAAAGAGCTATGATGAAAACTCAAGAGAGCTATTGATGAGAACTACAGTACTCTGAAAAAAGAGATCGAAGAGGATTTCAGTAAATGGAAAAATATTTCTTGCTCATGGATAGGAAGAACCAACTTTGTAAAAATGGCCATACTGCCAAAATTGTTGCACAGATTCAATGCAATTCCCATTAAACTACCATTAGCATACATCACAGATCTAGAGAAAACATTCCTTAAATTCTTCTGGAGCCAGAATAGCAAAAGCAATCCTGGGCAACAAGGACAAGTCAGTTGGAGTCAGAATCCCTGACCTGAAATTATACTACAAAGCTACTGTAATAAAATCAACCTGGTACGGGCTAAAAAACACACCTGAGGATCAGTGGAAGAGACTGGAAGAAACAGCCACAACCACAGACACACTCAGCCACCTAATCTTTGATAAAGGGCCCAAACAAACTCACCTGGAAGAACTATAGCCTCTTTAATAAATGGTGCTGGAAAAATTGGCTTGTCACCTGCCAAAGACTAAAAATAGACCCAAGTCTGTCACCATGCAACAAACTAAAGTCAAAATGGATCACAGATCTCAATCTTAAAACAGAAACACTAAATCT